CCCGGATGCTCGCCTCGGGGCGGCTTTTGGGGGGATGCAGGAGGGACCCGGACCCTGACGGACTCAGAAGCTGCCCTTCGATCGGCACCTCTGTCCACTGCGCTCTGGGCCGCCCGGCCCCACGCTGCGGTCCTTCCCCAGAGGCCTGCTTCTCAGTGGAGCTGGGGCGCAGGCACCCGCGGGGGAAGCCAGGGCGCTCCCGCGCCCGTCACCCCGGCTGGCAGTCGGGACAGAGGACCCCCGGCATGGGGGGGCAGCCGTAAGAAACTGGGGAGCACGGAGGCCGATCCAGAAAATTGTTTACTATATTTGCCCCCCGCCCCACCCCAGTACTTTTTCTAGCGTCAGCCCTTACCCAGAGTCTCGGGGGTTTCTCAGTCCCCTAGGAGTCCCTGAACCCCGCTCTCCACCCCCAGGCTCAGCGGGTCCGCGAGGTAAATCGGGGTGCAGGGACCCCAGGCCGCTGCGGCCGCTGCGCGCATTTTCCGGGTTTTCTCAGCGGGTCTCCCCGCGCCCCACACTCCGCTCGCGTCGAGTTTCTGGGGAGACCCTGCGCCCCGCTCGCTTACTGCCCAAGTTAACAGCGAGTGTAGGAGACGCCGAGCCGACGGGAGCCGAAGAAAGAGCTTTTTAGTCTTTTTTTGGTAAACTTGTGCTGGTTTCATACATTTTCCCCCCAAAAAAGGGAGCATTAGACCCGGGCTTCGCGGAGCGATGACGCCCGCGCGGTGCGTTTCTCGGGCGCCTCCGGAATCTGAATTTTAAGAGTCAAGGCTCCCCATAAAGCGACGGCATAAAAGGGGCTCGCTGCCTCTTCCCATTATTATTTATTAGGACTTTTTTAGTTTATTTGAGCTTTGAGGTAAGTTAATTAAGTAACTGAATCAAGTTTCCTTTCTTCCTTCCTTCCTTCCTTCCTTCACTTTTTACCCCCAAAAGCTGGTTCATTGTCCTGAGAAGCAGTAAACCGAGGGCCGGGTAGGAAACATCCCCCTCCCAGTCCCTTTCTCACCTCTCCCCACCCCCTTGCTTCGGTAGTAAATGGTTTTAGGTTATGACTGCTTTCACGTGGTTGAACAATAAGTTTGGGAGAAGCTGCCCAGAGGGTAGGTTTTGTAACGGGGTTACAGGATTTAGTATGTTGTAATAATATTAGTACACAACTAATCCTCCTGCAGGTCTGACTTACAGGCGGGCCTTGCACACTCCAGTTCCCTCCGCTTGGGAACGGTTGTGAGATCCATGGAGGCCAGGGTTGGGGACGCGTCTCAGTTCCCTTCGAAAGTCGCCAGTTTTCCGCAGTGGGCTCAGCCACCTCCGGGTCTCTCCGCACACACAACACATGCTTCAAGCAGTTGTAGGGCTTGGGGTTTTTCTGTCTAGGGGTTGCGTTTCTTTCACGTAAGTAAAAGGTGGTTAAATTTTAGAAGCCGAACCCTTACTCAAACAGCGGGGTTCCTTTTTCTTTTATCTTGAAATGGTCTTAAACTGTGGCACATGAAACACGGGACATCGTAAGTTTACCTCTAGCGGGTGCTCTGGCCGGGTGCTGTTATGGCTTCTGCCTGGAGTGGAACCTTGGAGAGTTTGTGGACCCCACTCCCAGTAGCCAAGCGACTCCCCAGGCCGTGGGCAGCCAGGGCCGCTGCTGTGTGCATGGGTGTGTGTGTGCGCACGTGTGTGTGCATGTATGTGTGTGCGTGTGTGTGCATGTATGTGTGTGCGTGTGTGTGCGTGCGTGCGTACAAAGAAGCCATGAGCCATGCTAGACAGCCACACCGATAACGTCACTGGAACAAGTTCAAGAAAATTAGAGTGTTTGGTCAGTCTTACAGTGCTCACATTTTAATTCTTACTGTAGTGAGGCTGAAACACCAGAAACACCCTAAAATAAACTTGGGAATTGTCCTGTCTCTTACGAAAGCGAGATTATGGCAAATATGACCCGTCTCTTAAGTGCCATTCAACAAGTCTTGGATTATGTGGGGGAAGATCCCTGCACTGGGAAGTGTTTACCGAGGTAAACAGCCCTGAGGAAGGGACACGTTTGAATCTCAGGGTTTTCTATGTGGCTGCGTTACTAGAAATGTGTGTGTACATGTGTGTGTCGGTGTTTCTTCCTTGGGTGGTGTTTTTAAGATTCCTGTAACTACGCGGATGGCCCATTCATTTATTAAGAAAGACTTTTGGTGCTCTTTGGGGCTCAGCTTTGTTTTTGTTTTTGTTTTTCAAGGAAAAGATAACATTGGGAGAAAGCTAAAACCACCAAGAACTGCAGATAAAACATTGTCATATAAAGCATCATAAAAATTCCTCTTATTTATATTAATAATGAAATTCTATTATTTACTAAAATAATTTCCTCATCGTGAGCAGCTTAATGACTACATATTGATTTCTGGGCCCAAAAGGTTAGAGAGAACTGTAATGAATTAGGGTGTGTGTGTGTGTGTGTGTGTGTGTGTGTGTGTGTGGGGTGGTGTTGTTTTTTGAAAAACAGACACCTGCAAGATAAGGCAGTTGCAAAGAATTTATGTGTCATCTGGCCTGTTTTTTAAGTTTGTCGCGTGATGGGAGATTCTGGATGAGAAAATGCAAACTGGTTGGGGGACTTGCTTCTGGGGGGCTGCACAGACTCCCTAAAATGTTAAAGACAGACACCAGCAAAGCCTGAGAGACTGTTGTAAAGGGAATTTGTGATACTGAATGTTTTGGGGTTTATTTTACATCAAGTTCCTGCTATAGTGTGTAGGCCCATGTATAGGTCCTTCTTGGGGGACGTTATTTCATTTCTTTCTATAGTTGCAGGTAGCCGGTTGTCTCCACCAACTGTCCTTTCAAAGGCAAAACCCTGCTACGGGTGTGTTTTTAACGTGAAAACCTTCCTGGGAACCTGGGGACGAAATTGGTAGACGAGTCATTCCCTGAGTTTTTTGAAATCGTTAGAAACCAAGCCCTACGTATCCACCAAACCGAATCCCCCCTGCAGCCCTAATTCGGTTTTTCTAAGACGCACCCTGGCCAGCTAGCCGGGTCTCCTGAAATATTCTTAGATTACCCAAACTGGAGTCATTCGGCAGTTTAGCCAAGGAGGTGGTAAATTACCCCAGAACCACCACCCCTCCCCCACACAAGCACGAAGTTTGTGGGCCAGGCTTTAGGAAAAAAACCCGAGATGTGTCGGGCTGTTTTAACCTTTGCCGGCCCCCTCCCATGCTAAGGTGACAAGGTCCAGATCATAATATGTCCTTCGGTGTCTTCCCGGTGACCCCCAGATTGAGCCTCGCTAGTCACTTAGCAGGAAGTTGGTAGTTTATTTTAGTTTCACCTTATCAGCTTGGCTTCTTTTCCTAACCTTATTGCCCGGTCACCCTCAGATGCCAGACCCCCGAAGGGGAAGATTGACAGGTAGTTCCCATAGCTCGGCTTTACCCTCAAACAACAGGGATTTAGTTTCTGTGCCTTTGCCAATGTTTATGTAGCCGAAGTTTAGATCTCGCCTTAAGGAGTCTCTCTTTTACGCGTCACTGGAATAGCAAAGCCACAAAGAAGTTTTTGAACAAACCCTCGCAACTGGAACCCCATCTAGTGTTCAGTTTGATTCCTCCACGGGGAAGACATTTTCCCCCTTTTCGCTCCTTGTGTGCGTTAGGGGGGCTCGAAGCCCTGTTTGCAAAGGGGCGTCTTGGCGTTTTTCAAAGATGTCCCTGGTACTCGCCCACGCGAGAAGATCCTGGGCCGGATCGGAGCGCTGGAGGAACTTGGGGGGTGCCAGGAAATTTGTCATTTGGTTGCATAGTGCACAGAGGAAACTTAGGACGTGGCTGAAAATATGCACAGCATATGTGGTGCTGTTTACAGTTTCTTGGGAATTTTAAGCTGGACGTTCAGGTTCAGGCTTTTCCCAGGTCTGTGCCAAAAATTAAAAAAATTAAATTAAATTAAAAAGGCCAATAAATCAAAAATGTTTGCGATCGCCTTTCTCCATTGGCCCACAGAAAAGGAAGAGCCTGTTAAAATTACAGGCTCCAAAATCACGGTCACGAGAGGGTCTGTTAAAAATGTGAATGTGATCTTCAGGTTCGGGGAAGTAAAGGGGAGGCTCTTTCTGGGGGGCTCCAAGAAAGAAAACCCAGCGTGGTAGAAGGTTGTTTTGTTTTGGTTTGCTCCCCCCACCCCCACCCCGCCGGCTGGCTAAACCTTGCTGTGTGGGGCATAGTTTTATTTTTGTTTTCTCAGTAGACAGATATCCTGGAACGCTTCAGTTTTCTGCCTCCTGTTCTGCAATGTTTGGTTCAGATGATGAAAAACTGACAAATTTGAATTGGGCATCAAGCACCTAAATCGTACAACAAGAACTGAAGCATTTGGGATTTTAGTATAAATTGGATGGAGCTGTAAGATCACCCTCTCCCCGCCCCCTCCAAAAAAACCACCAGGAAATTCCAAATATCTTTTTGTGTATCCATACTTAAAAAACCCACTGCTTCTTAAATCTTGTTATCTGACCAGGATTACAAAATTACTCTACTTTGCATGCAAAATCCACAGAAAAGGAGCTGGCATGTTATTTTCACCATAACACAGGGAACAAGGCAACTGTATTTACTATAATGGGGTCACCAGTTGCAATCCTGTGTAACAGATTATTCAGAGATACAAGGTAGCAGACAGTCAGAAAAATGAATTAGAACATGTTAGTGTGTGTATCTTATTGTGACTTAAAATATTCCCTTTAGTAAAGATTCAAACTAGTCCTCATGTTTTATCTTTATTTAAAAGCTGTTTCATTAGAATTCTGTTCAGAATGCAGATAGATTTAAAGTTAAGAGCTATTAACAGTGTAGTGACACCTGCTTTTGAAATAAATCAAAATAGATACCAGGAATTTTTTTTTTTTTTTTTTTGGCGTTCATAAACATCAGGAAATTAAATTAGTTGACTCTACAGTGAGATCAAATGTCAGCTTATTAAAATGTTTCGAAAATCTAAGCTAAAATGTGAGCAACTCTTTAACAGTCTCTTTCTTAGAAGCAAGCAGGCATTTATTTTAAGCATCTGTATTTTCCGTCCATTTAGCACCATCTTAAATATAAAAATGTTCAGGTTGAAAAACTTGAAAATTCTCAAGTGAATCTCAAAGCAGCACAAACGTAGAACTCGAGCACTGTAAAGTAAGTAACAATTGGCTGAATCCTGTAGAGTAACCTTTTTTATTTTCTCTCTCTATTATGAGAATATCAGATGTTTGCAAGTTACAAAAAATTAAAATGCCCTTTAATCGTGAGCACAGATGTGCTAAATATTTGAAGCAACTACATTGTAATGTGTACAATTGATGAAGTCAGTTTTCTGATTTCCCTTGCTAGTTATTTAGTTCTGAATCTGTCATTATTTGTCTAAGCCCAGCTGACCAAGCAAAACTGTGTTTTAAAGTGGCTTTATGTTTTGATAAATGTGAGCTGGTTGAAAAGTATTTTCCACTGAATGCAGAGCTTAATAGAACATGCTGACATAATAGTTTTAATGCATTTTGTTGAAAATGTGTGAACAAACAGAATAGCTTTTGTTCCTTCATAATTGGCTGTAAAAGTAGATGGAAACATAACCATTACATATGGAAATGTGCAAAGAGAAAGAAATAACATTTCTGTGAATATATTAGGAATTGCATTTCCTCGTTTAAAATAAGCATCCGAAATGGATGCATCATTTAAAATTGGTTGTCAAAATACGAAGCTTTAAACAGAATTTTTGTCACATTATTTTTGTCCCAAGTGAAGCAACATAACTTTAGCGAATTTCGTTTAATATTTTGTTTATATTATTTTAAGGCAGGAAGAGAGAGAGAGAGACAGAAACTGCTTCACACAGCACCTCGAATGTGCACAGGAATCCGGCGACAATTAGGATGATTAGACATTAAATTAAAACAGAATCGTTATTGGTGTTCTCTGCTCCCACTAAGATTTGTCTGGTATTGTTAATGCATTTTGCACCCTGTCCCCGTGGAGATTCAAAGATGGGTATTGGGAAAGCCGGCATGTTAAGTATAACTTAGCTGCTCAGCACCCCCTGAGTGAAGTGTGGACACCGTCCGTATACTTGCCCAGGGCTTCTGCTCAGCCCCGCACCACGGAGGCACAGACTTGAGGAATTTTCAGAAGTCAGTATTTAGGTATTAATTATATTTTCTGGAATGCTAAGCAACTCAAGCCTTGTTTCTTTCCTTTTTTTCTTTTTTTTTTTTTCTTTGTCTTTTTTATGTTCACTACCAAAAGGCAAACGGCTGGCTCTTTTGAGTTGACTCTAAGTTTACTGAAAAAGTAGCATTTTCATTTTGCATTTATTCAGATTCACAATTAGGTTGGTTTTTTTTCCCCCTGCAAGTTTTCTGGGAGATTCAATTTGGAAGTCATGGAAACTAACTATTATCTGACTCCGTTCTGCAGAAAAGCATGCAGGGAGGTAATCCTTGAATTAAACAGTTTTTTTTTTTTTTTCACAGCCTTCGGAGATGACCACACACCATTTGTACAACAGAAGTTGGTGTTCCCCATGCTGGGAAACAATGGGACGCCAGCCTGCCTTTGAATAGGGTGTGAGCTTGGAGTTGGAGATTTTTATGTTGAATTTACAAATGGATCTTAGTGAGAAGAAATCTGAGCAACCAGTGGAAACAAACATGAAATAAAGGGATTTTTTTATAATGAAAGGTTCAGGACAATCTGTTAAACAATTGGTAACAGTTAAGAGCAAACTGTTTTTAAAGGCATTCAGAGCAGGAGAAAGGCGAAGCATTCTCAGACTCTACGCCGAGAATCACTTCTTCACTTCCCCGCAACTGCACACCTTCCTTAAAGTTGATGTTCAGTCAGAAACGTAAACCCCATGCCGGCTTTATAGATAGAAGGAGCGCTTTTGATGAACTATCTGGAGGCATCCTGTTGCCAGTTGGAGCCTCGAGATATATATATTCCTTGATTAGTGGCGGGGTAGCCGGGGTTGCATTCTTTAATTTTAAAAATAAACATGCCACGGGGTGATATATAGATGCCAGGCGGGCCTTGTAGCGGGTTATGACTATTGTGCTTCTCCGCATTGTGTGTGTGTGTGGGTGTGGGTGTGGGTGTGTGTGGCTTTCTCTTTTGTATTCAGCGTGCGGAGGATTTGTTACCGACGTGGCCACAGCGTGTGTGTCGCCGACCTGACTTAGCCCGAGTCCTAGGTAGGGGCGGGAGGCGATTTCCAAGTTGTCAGTCTTCAACTTGGGGCCGTGCATTTCTTTCCTCCTTGTCAACAACAGATTGGAACCTGAATGACTACAAATTAGTTTAGTGACAGAACCAACTGTCACAGATATCTTCGAATCGGTTGAAAATGAGTAAGGTTGACAGAAACTCGGGGGCCTAATAAGTCCTCACGGCGGCTGCCGGGCCCTCTCCGGAGGAGTAGACAGTAAGGTGTGTGGGGTATTGGAAATCGATATTTAGCTATGGACTTTCATGATGCACCCCGGTCTTCGGTTCGTAGTATTTTATATTTTGATGGGTTATCGGAAGGCCGGGACTCTCTGAGATACCAGATGGGTAGGAATTCCTCCAACATCCTTCAAGTGTAATTACGGACGTCCCTGGGTAACACGGACTGGTTTTCGGGGGTGACGGTTTCGAGTTTCACAGGTAGAAAGCGGTGGGTCAGCCCCCGCCTTGTTTTTGAAGCCATAGGTGGCCGTGTCCTGGCTTCCTTCCTAACCCTGCACCTTTGATGTTTGCAGGCAACGCAGAGAAGGGACAACCGAGTCGCACCGCTAAGAGCAAGGACGCCCACGTCTGTGGCCGGTGCTGTGCCGAGTTCTTTGAGTTATCAGATCTTCTGCTCCACAAGAAGAACTGCACTAAAAATCAGCTCGTTTTAATCGTCAATGAAAGTCCAGCCTCCCCACCCGAAACCTTCTCCCCCAGCCCCCCTCCGGAGAACCCCGACGAGCGAGTGAATGACGCGGCCGCCAAGCCAGACCGAGCCGACGGGCACCACGGGCTTGGCCGGGACGAGTCCATGGAGGTGGAGGCCCAGGGGGCCGACAAGGGCAGTGGGGGCGCCCAGAGCGGCGGCCACCCCGGCGCCCCCCCCGTTGGCACCGGCGGCTCCTCCACAGGTACCTCAGCGACCACAACCTCTCTACCTCAACTCGGGGACCTGACGACACTGGGCAACTTCTCCGTGATCAACAGCAACGTCATCATCGAGAACCTCCAGAGCACCAAGGTGGCGGTGGCCCAGTTCTCCCAGGAGGCGAGGTGCGGCGGGGCCTCGGGGGGCAAGCTGGCCGTGCCCGCCCTCATGGAGCAGCTCCTGGCTCTGCAGCAGCAGCAGATTCATCAGCTGCAGCTGATCGAGCAGATTCGTCACCAAATCCTGCTGTTGGCCTCTCAGAACGCAGACTTGCCAACATCTTCTAGCCCTTCTCCAGGTATCTTACGAACATCTGCCAACCCCTTGTCCACACTAAGTTCCCATTTATCTCAGCAGCTGGCAGCCGCGGCCGGGTTAGCACAGAGCCTGGCCAGCCAGTCTGCCAGCATCAGCGGAGTGAAGCAGCTCCCCCCAGCCCAGCTACCTCAGAGCAGCTCTGGCAACACCGTCACCCCATCCAACAGCGGCTCTTCCCCCCACGTGAACATCCTGGCGACAGCGGCTACCACCCCGTCCTCCGAGAAGGTGGCTTCGGGCGCCGGCGCCTCCCACGCCGGCAGCCCGGTGGTCTCGGCATCCCCCTCACCAGCTTTTGCAATAAGCAGCTTATTAAGCCCTGCGTCTAATCCACTTCTACCTCAGCCGGCCCCTGCTAATTCCGTGTTCCCCAGCCCTTTGCCCAACGTCGGAACAACTGCAGAGGATTTGAACCCCTTGTCCGCCTTGGCCCAGCAAAGGAAAAGCAAGCCACCAAATGTCACTGCCTTCGAAGCCAAGAGCGCCTCAGACGAGGCGTTCTTCAAACACAAGTGCAGGTTCTGCGCCAAGGTCTTCGGGAGCGACAGTGCCTTGCAGATCCACCTGCGCTCCCACACCGGGGAGAGGCCGTTCAAGTGCAACATCTGCGGGAACAGGTTCTCCACCAAGGGCAACCTCAAGGTCCACTTCCAGCGCCACAAGGAAAAGTACCCTCACATCCAGATGAACCCCTACCCCGTGCCTGAGCACCTGGACAACATCCCCACCAGTACCGGCATCCCGTATGGCATGTCCATCCCCCCAGAGAAGCCAGTCACCAGCTGGCTGGACACCAAACCAGTCCTGCCCACCCTCACCACTTCGGTCGGCCTGCCGTTGCCCCCGACCCTCCCGAGCCTCACCCCCTTCATCAAGACCGAAGAGCCAGCCCCCATCCCCATCAGCCATTCCACCGCCAGCCCCCCAGGCTCCGTCAAAAGCGACTCCGGGGCTCCTGAGCCGGCGGCGGCGAGAAACCTGGGTGGGCTCCCCGAGGAGGCTGAAGGGTCCGCGGTGCCACCCCCTGGTGGCAAAAGCGAAGAGAGCGGCGTGGTCGCCAGCTCAGCCCCAGCGGCGGGCGCCGGCACCCTGAGCTCCCCGGCGGCGGACTGCGGCCCAGCCAGTGCCACCGCGTTCACCAACCCCTTGTTGCCGCTCATGTCCGAGCAGTTCAAGGCGAAGTTTCCTTTCGGGGGGCTCCTGGACTCGGCGCAGGCATCGGAGACGTCCAAGCTTCAGCAGCTGGTGGAAAACATTGACAAGAAGGCCACCGACCCCAATGAGTGTATCATCTGCCACCGGGTCCTCAGCTGCCAGAGCGCCCTGAAGATGCACTACCGGACGCACACCGGCGAGAGGCCCTTCAAGTGTAAGATCTGTGGCCGAGCCTTCACCACGAAAGGGAACCTGAAAACCCACTACAGCGTGCACCGTGCTATGCCCCCGCTCAGGGTGCAGCACTCCTGCCCCATCTGCCAGAAGAAGTTCACCAACGCCGTGGTCCTGCAGCAGCACATCCGCATGCACATGGGGGGCCAGATCCCCAACACCCCCATCCCCGACAGCTACCCCGAGTCCATGGAGTCTGACACGGGCTCCTTCGACGAGAAAAATTTCGATGACCTAGACAACTTCTCCGATGAAAACATGGAGGACTGTCCCGAGGGCAGCATCCCCGACACGCCCAAGTCCGCGGACGCGTCCCAGGACAGCCTGTCCTCCTCGCCTTTGCCCCTGGAGGTGTCGAGCATCGCTGCTCTGGAGAACCAGATGAAGATGATCAGCGCCGGCCTGGCGGAGCAGCTGCAGGCCAGCCTGAAGTCGGTGGAGAACGGGTCCGTGGAGGGGGACGGCCTGACCAACGACTCGTCCTCCGTGGGCGGCGACATGGAGAGCCAGAGCGCCGGCAGCCCGGCCGCCTCCGAGTCCACCTCTTCCATGCAGGCTCTGTCCCCAGCCAACAGCACCCAGGAATTCCACAAGTCGCCCGGCGTGGAGGAGAGGCCACCGAGAGCGGCCCCGGGCGAGTTCGCCAACGGTCTGTCGCCCACTCCGGTGAACGGCGGGGCTTTGGATCTGACGTCGAGCCACACAGAGAAAATCATCAAGGAAGAGTCTTTGGGGGTCCTCTTTCCTTTCAGAGACCGGGGTAAATTTAAAAATACTGCTTGCGACATTTGTGGCAAAACCTTTGCTTGTCAGAGTGCCTTGGACATTCACTACAGAAGTCATACCAAAGAGAGACCGTTTATTTGCACAGTTTGCAATCGTGGCTTTTCCACAAAGGGTAATCTGAAACAGCACATGTTGACACATCAGATGCGAGACCTCCCGTCCCAGCTCTTCGAGCCCAGCGCCAGCCTCGGCCCCAGTCAGAACTCGGCGGCCATCCCCGCCAACTCCTTGTCATCTCTCATCAAAACGGAGGTGAACGGCTTTGTGCACGTTACTCCTCAGGACAGTAAGGACCCCCCCACCGGCCACGTTCCCCCCGGGCCTCTGTCGTCCTCCGCCCCGTCCCCGGTCCTGCTGCCGGCCCTGCCCAGGAGGACTCCCAAACAGCACTACTGCAACACGTGTGGCAAGACCTTCTCCTCATCTAGCGCCCTGCAGATCCACGAGAGAACTCACACTGGAGAGAAACCCTTTGCTTGCACCATTTGTGGAAGAGCTTTCACCACAAAAGGCAATCTTAAGGTACCTCCGTCCACCTGTACGTCCCCAGCCACCATCGGCCCTCTCTCCGGGGGCCCTTCCGTGTCCGTAGTGCATGCTCCCAGAGTCGGCAGCCCAGGCGCCCAGGGAACCCGCTGCACGTGCCCGCTCGTGGGGACACGGTGCCCGAGCGGGTCAGGCGCATGGCAGGGGCCAGGCCAGGCTGCAGCTGGCTGAAGGTCAGCCTGCACTGAATAATTTGGTACCTAAGCGAAACAGCGGCCTATCTCCGTTGTCTCGCTAAGTGCACCAAATGAATTGCTTCACCTACCAGGGAAGACAGCCCGGCGTTGCCATGGGGTATTGATTAAAGCCTCCATGTGGCCTGTGCTCTGCCCGGATCACTTAATAATTACAGCTCTCCTCGGCCTGTGCATCTCCTTTCCACAACTATGCAGGCCAGCACGGTTTGTTTTTCTAAAAACAATCACGTCACTCCTCACTAATGGGTATTATGATAATTGATTAGACAACACTTCCTACTGATATGTGTTGGAAATAAAGCAAATATGCTTAAGTTCTAGAGCAACAGTTGAGCGCTCTCACTGTGTACATTTTTCTGTTGACAGAGTATTTCTCTAGAGATTGCTGCCAGTAATGCGAGATGAATAATTACTTTCTGGCGTTTCTCTCCACGCAAGGCCCTCCGATGGGCAATCAGCGAGGGGTACTTTCCTCCCATCTGAAAAGGACGTTTATAGGGTAAAGGGTGTCAGATACAATACTCACCGTTGCAATGAGAGTGCACGTAACAATTCTGACCCTGAAAGGGGCTATCTGCAACCGACTGGCCCGTGTGAGGCCATTATAAGCTAAATAGGGGTAATAAAAAGGGGTAATTAAGGCATCTCTGCCCAGGAGGAGAGGTGGCCCAGGGCTGCAGAGAGCGAACAGGTTATTACTAATCTTTGGCTTGGATGGCCCAAAGATTTCCCACCGTCTGGCACGTAGTAGGAATAGACGTTAGACATTTAGACCTCCAGCGTTGCTGAGCGCCGTTGGGATGTGAGCGGAAACAGATCCAGCTACTAAGCTTCCTCTCTCCCCCCTTCCTCTCCCCCTCCCCCCTCTCCCGGCAGGTGCACATGGGCACTCACATGTGGAACAGCACCCCCGCACGGCGGGGCCGGCGGCTCTCCGTGGACGGCCCCATGACCTTTCTAGGAGGCAATCCCGTCAAGTTCCCAGAAATGTTCCAGAAGGATTTGGCGGCCAGGTCGGGAAGCGGGGATCCTTCCAGCTTCTGGAACCAGTACGCTGCGGCGCTCTCCAACGGCTTGGCCATGAAGGCCAACGAGATCTCCGTCATTCAGAATGGTGGCATCCCCCCCGTCCCCGGGAGCCTGGGGAGCGGGAGCAGCTCGCCTATCAGCGGGCTGACGGGCAACCTGGAGAAGCTTCAGAACTCGGAGCCCAGCGCGCCGCTGGCCGGCCTGGAGAAAATGGCTAGCAGCGAGAACGCCGCCAGCTTCCGATTCACGCGCTTCGTGGAGGACAGCAAGGAGATCGTCACCAGTTAGGGCGGCTCCGGCTGGAGCGCCGGGCGAGCCTTCCCGCTCAGACCCAGGCCACGGCTGCGGCCGCCTCCCCTCACCCGGGCCCCCCGCCTTCCGGCTCCCCCAGATTGCCGAACTCGACCCCACGACGAACACATTCTTTCGTACCTTGTTCAACTTCTAGAGTTCTAAGAAAGCTTATTTATTAGTGATATAACCTTGCTTTGCAGACAGGATGCAAGCGTTAACTTTGGTCTTCTGTATTTTGGACTAAATACTAATTGACTAGAGTGCTGTAAACTTGCTGTAACATTTATGGCAATTGCAAGTTGCCCTGCTAGGCGGTCTTAATCTGGCATTAACTTATTTTCTATACCCAGTTTAATATGAATCTGGTGTTGATGCAATGCCTCCGTGATGCATTAGGTCTCTAATAAAAGTCTGTATATAAATGTACACTTTGATCCTGCTGGAACGTTTTCTCAGCAAACACATTGTCTAATCTTTCTAAACAGAATTAGGGAAAGGACTGAAAAGTACAGACTGAACAGTGTGGTTCTTTGAAAGGTTTGGGTTTTTGTTTTTTGGGGTTTTTTTTTTTTTTGGTTTTTTTTTTTTTTGTCCTTTAGTTTTTTGCCCTTTAGGTTTTTTTTGGTTGTTTTTTTTTTTTCCTTTGTAGATTTAACCGTTTCCGTTCTGAACTGCTCTTTGTATTGTGCTTTTTACTTGAGTCTTCCTCAGTGTTCCTAGGTTTCTGTACAGTATAAGCACGCAGAATTCCTTAGAGAAAATGCAAGTGTTGTTTTGGTAGTGGGAACTGAGACGTAACCCTTTGCCTTGTAGGTATATATTCACAATAGCAAACGTGTGCTGGAATTTCACAGTGCTGCTAAGTATAGCATCTGGAACAACCTTCGGTGGAGAAAATGTAGCTGCTCTTGTACATACAGTGAGAAATATCACTTTCATTAAAATGTACATATGTTCCTTACGAGAGCAAATGCTTCTTCTTGATCAAGAGAGCAGGTATAGTGTCGGCTTATTTTGTATTAGGTATGGAAGAAAACAAATTGGACTGTTACATGCACTTTCTTGGAAAGTTGAAAGGAAAAGGGGGGGTCCGATTTCTTTAACATTTAATACTTACTAACAACAGAGATACTGTAATTTTACTCAAGTAATCAAATACATTTTTTTTTTTTGCAACAGATAAAACAAAATACCGTGTCTGTGTTTCTAGAGCGCATTTTCTATTTAGCCAGGCCCTGAAATGTAGTTTAACCTTTCCCCAGGCACCCGTAAATTGTGTATGTGGGTGTGTCTCTCTCTGAGTAAGGAATTGTAAAAAAGCGCAGCAGAAACAGGTTTGCTCGGGCCTGTGGTTTTCCTCTATTTTTTATTTCGAGGATCTAGATCTTTTCCCCAGTAACTGTTAGGTGTTTGGCCGCCCTTCTCACAAACCCCCA